GGGTGTCACTCCGTGGCCACTTCCTACAATTTGTCAACAGCACGCTTCTTTTGTGGGAGCAGTAAGTCTTTTGATTTTTTTTCCTTAAAGAAAGTATTAGATTTAAGTAATTTTGCAGGGGGAATTAGACTGGAATTAGATTTAAGTAATTTTGCAGGGGAAAATATTCCTGGGGAATCTTTGAATGGTAAACAAGTTTTAAAGAAGCCAAATAAATAGATATGCACCTTTGACATCTCCGTAAGTCTGCTTCTAAAAGACTTTTAAAAACTCTGATCAGCTTTAGCCCTGTTTGTTTTTAGGAGCTAAACAAAGACATGCTCTATCTGGAGTGGATAATCCTTTTGCAAAGTTATCCTCCATCTCCTTTCCTGAGTCCATGCTCTCCAAGTTGCTTGTCGCCTCCCAGAGTCAGCTGGCAGTTTCAAAGCCAAGATGTCTGAAGGAGGCCAGAGGAGCAAGACAGGGAGAACAGCGGGGCAGGCGGGCAAGTGCATCTGTAGTCTCGGGTGTTTCTGCCAGAACTGATGCCTTGCCGGCTTTTTGCCCGCCTCAGAGAAGAGTCCTCTTGGAAATGCATCCAGATTGGTCTGCAGCTCTCTCTTTCCCCTGTTCCAAGGTTTCCTCCTTCGTGAGGGCTTCCCTGATAAACTCCCCACGGCCACAGACGTCCTCAGGTTTCCAGTACAGGGCTCTGCGTCCTGTGCATCTATGTATGTCCCTCTGCAAATGCGTTTATGGGACAGTTGGTTGCACTATTAGATAGTGACCTTCTCCACTGCTGATTCCACAGCTGGGATATACTGGCGGGTAGATGCGCGTCAGGTATCATTGAGGCCAGTTACACAGATGAAGGCTGAGATTCAGAGAAGGTAACTAGCCCAAGGTCACAGAGCTACCAGCTGGCCGGGCTGAGACTTGAACTGGCAGTGTCAGGTCCCCCTGTTAGGGGTGAGCATTTACAGTGATCTGAAGTCCAAGTCACCCTCTGCAGTCCCCTTGTCTCTATCAGGTCCCCCACACTGCACAGCGCTCATACCACAGAGCTGCGTCCATCTGCAGGAAGCTTGTGGAGCCCTTGCTCTTCCAGGACTGTTCTGGCAGCTGTTTCTTTACAGCCTTTGGTCCTGTTCTGCCCTCACCTCCACGTCCTCCCCCCTTGACCCCCAGAAAGACAGACCTAGAATTTCACACCTTGACCCCACACCTGTGGTACAAAACCCGTCAGTGAGCCACATCCTGCACAAGAGGCCGCTTAGCTCTGGATGTGGAATCTCCGGCCACCACGCATGAGCCTTCCTCGGCCCCCCAGCTGCTCAGCAGGATCATCCCTTCACACCCCCAGCCTCCCCTGGCCCCCAACTCCACATTCTTGGAACACCTGCACCACTGGCCAAGTGCTGAGCTCCATGTCTCTTCTCTTTCCTTCCTCTGAGCCCAGTCTCTGTGCATTGGTAAACATCTGTCTGTTTGCCCAACCCCCTCCCAGGCAGCCTCTCAGGCAGGGAGTGTGTGTGTGTGTGTGTGTGTGTGTGTGTGTCTATGTGCACACACACGTGTCTTTTTCATTTCTCTTGTCTTTAATTGACAAACAATAATTGTATATCTTTACAGGAGACAATGTGAAGCTTTGGTTATGTGGACATTAAGAAATGATTAAATAAGCTAATTAAGACAGCTATTATCCCATCTACCTTTTCTGTGGTGAAAGCATTTAAAAATCTACTCCTTCACAGCACTGAAACACACAGTGTGTTGTTATTAACTATAGTGATCATGGATCATTGAAACATATTCCTCCTGTCCAACTGAAACTGTAGGATCTGACCAGTGCTTGCCCATCCCAGGGCTGCCAGGGAGGGTGTTGGGCAAACAGACAGATGTCTACCAATCCCATGGGCTCAGAGGAAAGGAAGAGAAGGCTGGTGGATCTGGTAAGCACCACTGTACTCTATTTCCATGAGTTCAACACTTTAGCTTCACATATAGGTGAAATCATGCTGTATTTGTCTTTCTGTGCCTGGCTTATTTTACTTAACACAACATTCTCCAGGTCCCTCTATTTTGTTACAAATGACAGGATTTCCATCTTTTTCAAGACTGAATAGTATTCTATTGCTTATCGCTACCACATTTTCTTTATCCACTCATCCACTGGTGAAAACTTAGGTTGCTCCCACATCCTGGTAATTGGGAAGTGTGCTGCAGTAATTATGGGCTCCCTCTGCCCTGCCTCCATGGTGCTGGGAATCAAGGCCAGTGCCTCACAAATGCTAGGCAAGTGCTATACCTGAGCCACAGCCCAGTCTACCGCATGAGGTTTTTCATCGTAGCCTTTTGTACTGGTCACAAAGTAGCCCAAACGGTAAGGGAAGAGAAAGAGTTTATTAAATTCAAAGGTACAGGAATTGGCTTTGGTATTTGTAAGATGTTAGGTGCAACTGGGAAGGTTCCAACTGCAGCCCTTTTTCTGGCAGGGGAGGATCTTGATACTAAATTTTGATGAAGAAAAGGGGAAACTGAGTGTTCTCATTAGGAGTTAGGCATGATGGCACACACCTATAATCCTAGATACTTGGGAAGCTAGCAGGACAATCACAAGTGTGAGGCCTGCCTGGGCAGCTTAAAGATATACTGCCTCAAAATAGCAACACTTTGAAGAAAGGGCGAGAGTGGTAGAGTGCTTGCCCAGCGTGCACCAGGCCCTGGGTTTGAGCGTCAGCGCTAGAAGGTAACTGAACTCTAACTGGCGTCTAGTCTTGAAACCTCCTGCCCTGCTTTGCCTTGTAGTGCCTGCCTCACCACTTGGCACTCAATACAGGCTATGGGCACCAGGCAGTTTTTTCTGTAATTTCCCAGGCTTCTGCTCTTTCCACTGAAATCAGTCTCTCCCCACTCCCAAAGCCCCTCTGTATGGAGACCATCTAGGGTGAGTAAATATACCCTCTACTTAATGTGGATCTGAATTCACTCATTCCTGGAAAAGCTAGCAGTGTTGACGTGTAGGGACATCCATTTTAATTATGGAAAAGGGCCTCCTTATCAATTATTTAGATCCCATTGAAAATAATACACTGCAAAAAAGAGAGAACAATTAGCTCTCACTTCTGCCTTGAATGTTTGACACAGAGCCACCACAGTGCATGCATACACACGTGTGTGCATACGTAAACACGTGAAGTGGGTGGGTGAAACACGTAAAGTCTCCACATCCCTTCAGTTATTCTGTTCTTCCAGATTCTAAGCATGCTACCTTTTGAGAAAGGATAAAACAGCATAAATAAAAATGTTGGCTGTGGTGGAGAAAAAGCCATGGAAAAATGAAGAGGAGGATCTTACGACTTGGCACTATAAATTTGAAAGCATATTTAGTTGAAGTAATTGATACTCAAATCAGGCTGCAGAGCTAGTCAAAACAAAGTGAAAGACTGAGACAATTATCCCAATCATTCAGGGTAGAAGTACCTTCTGGAGCAACCCAATAATTGAGATAAAAAGGTTTCCCTAGGCGCTTGTGGTCTAGAGTTGCTTAGCTAAGTCTTCCCCTTGTGCTCTGCACAGGTAACACGGCCATTTTGTCTAATAAACCTTTTATGTTCAGTGTCTTTATTCTGGATTCTGAAAATTGTAGGAAAATGGCCCAGTGCTAAGCATCAGAAGAAACACAAGGGGAAAGAAGGCCTTGCTTAGTTCAGAGTTTTAGCTCTTGGTGTCTTATATATTTGAAAAAGCACAGGGGTTTGATGTGTAGCTCAGTGGTAGCGTGCTCGCCTTCCATGTGTGAGGCCCCCGGTTCTACCCCTGGCACCATAAAACAACAACAGAAACGCAGGAGCCCTATGAACTGAAGAGAAGTTTTGGTGGCAGGATAATGGGTCACTTTGTTTTTTCCTAATATTCTGTATGTTACATGTTATTATAATGAGACTTAATTCAAAATATATTCATTTGCTTTCAAAAAGCATTTAATGCTTTGTAAATCACAGTGTAACACAGGAAAAAGTGAACATTTCTTCCCATGCCAGCTTTTTTTCCTCAGCTGTGGACTGAGAAAATCATGAGTTTGGTGTCTATTTTTGCAGGCATTTGTCTTCTGTTATGTAAGGTGCCCCCCTGTGTGTGTGTGTGTGTGTGTGTATGTGTGTGTGTGTTTTAATTGGATATAATATACACATGACTTGCGACTAAATTGTTTGATTTTATAATATACCATGGACATCTTTCTGTGTCAGTATCTATCCGTTTTCCCCATTATTTTTGATGGCTGCCTAATATGATTTATTTTATGTGACTAATCTCTAAATGATGGACATATGGTTATTTCTAATTTTTCACTGTTATGGCTACTGGTAAGATGAACACCCAGGAACAGGCAGCTTTAGACTACGTATTAGGCTAAGATTCCTAAAATGCTTTTTTAAAAAAATGAGGTGAAATTCACATAGCATATAATTAACTATCTAATAGGCATTTAGTATATTTACAGTGTTGTACAACCACTCCTGTACTTACTTTCAAAACTTTTTCTTTACCCCAGGAAATAGCCCTTGCTCATTAAGTGATTACTCCTAAGTCCCTCCCTTCTATCTTCTGGTGCACCGGTCTCCCTTCTGCCTCCACAGATTTCATATAATGGAGCCATCTGTGGCCTTTTATGACTGACTGATTTCTGCTAACATCATGGTTTCAAGGTTCATCCATATTGTGGCCGGCAGCAAGATTTCATTCATTTTTAGGGCTAAATAATACTCCATTGTGTTTACCTATTTACGCACTGAAGGGCTAACACTCCTCCTCAGAAGGAGTAGGAGAAGGTTGTTTCATTTTCTGTAAGTGGCTCAGGCTGTTCTGCCACATACACTGGGAAACTTCCATGGAAGAACTTTTGTTGGTTTTGGTTTTTTTCTCTTTTAATCAAGGGTAGGATGAAAGAGCCATCAGCCCTCAAGTGCCTCATGATATGGGGTTTCTTGAATTGGAGAGAATGTTAGGAAAGTAACTGGTTTGGTCAGTTTTTATTGCGTGTGCTAAAAAAGAATCAGCTCACGGTCCGAAGGATTCCCGCTGCTCCTAAGACCTGGCCCTTGGGGGCTGGAAAAATGGCAACAGTAATAACCCCTTATACTTCAGCCAGTGCTGCGTGGGCTCGGTGGCAGGGAGGCGGTGATTTTCTGCAATACAATGCAATATAGTTATCCGGGGTCAGTATTTCTCCTGTTAACACTGTAAAGTGACACTCTATTCAATTCCCCCTTTCACTTCCTTTTTTCTCTTTGGTCCTCTAAATCTTTTTTTAAAGTGCCTAGTATGTGCCAGGCACTGAGGACCTAACGAAGCTAAGAAATGCCAGCTCATGGCAAGGTAGGGAAGATGGAGACCTAAAGGGAGAAGTTTGCACCTTTGGGCAGGCAAGACAATAGAAGGATGGGAACGCAAAAGTTATCCAGATGAAAATGCAAGCGTCCAGTTGCTGATTTAGGTGTCCTTCCCCAAACCTGAGCACCTACTTGGTGAACATCATGTGGCCAAAACATGCGGGTGACTAGCAGGCTTCAGGGCTCCTCCTGTCGGTACTGCTGCCCAGGAGTCCCTGTGCGGTGCGGTTTTCACATACCTGGGCTCAAATCCTCTCCACTCAGGAGCTAGATAGCCTCAGGCAGGGCCTTACCTTCCACGCCTCTCTCCCTTAACCCCAAATGAGGATCACACGTGAAAAAGAAAAGGTGTGTGTACACAAATGAGGCACAATAGATATTCAATAAGTAGTTTTCCTTTTTTAGGTTCCTGTGATTCACTTTCCCCATGGCTTTTGAACTAACAGTATCTCAGCTTCTTTCTCTCTCTCTCATTTTTTTTTTTTTTTCGGTACTGGGGATCGAACTCATGACCTTGCGCTAGCCAGGCAGGCACTGTGCCACTGAGCTAAATCTGCAGCATTGCCCTCCTGCCCCAGCTTCTTTCTCAAAACCATGTTCCTAATTAGAAGAAAAGGTCACTGGTGATCCAGGAAATGTCCCGGAAGGGCCTGGGGCTGGCCTGTGTTCCTCACCTGCTCTGCAATAAGCCAGTTACCACAAACCTTCTATACCCATGCCCCAAGTCCCTCTCCCCTAGCATGCGTATCTCTGTCCACCTCTGAGGGAATTTCTTTTCTCATCTCTAGCCTGTGCTCCCAGGAGCAAATCACCCAAGTCTGGCCTCCCACAAATGGCTGCAGCCACCCTTGTACTCTCTCGACAAATTGAGCCCGGAGCTGTTAAGATGTCTTCTGTTAGAACTTTCTAACAGTGTCATAAATCTTTTATTAACATTTGGTATTATACTAATTAAAACTGTTCTCTGTATGTATTATTAATTTCCCTAGCACTTCTTGCTGGGGTGACGTTTTTAGCCAGCTAAGCAGAATGTAGCACAGTAAATAAGAAGAAACTCATTTCCAGACAATTAGCCTTGCAGAAAAATAAGTTGGTTAATGGAAGGCATGATGATTACAAATTTTACCTAAATAAACAGGGTATCTTAATGGTAACTCTTCAAGCTAAGTAAACAGATTGGGGTGGTAATGTCCTAAGCAATACTTAAATGTAACTGTTTAATAAATTGGTAAATTACTCATTTCATCTTAGAACAAAATGGTAATACTGTAGTAATAACCTAGTATATATTCCGTAAATATGAAGCATTATCACTTTAGCTCTGTAGAAATCACCACAGTGATATGTCAGCATTGATCTAAAACTGCAGCATTTTATCTCAAGTTTATTACCCATTTTTGAGAATCGCTGAGATTTTCAGAGCATAATGGCAATAAAAGAAGAATTTAAAAAGCGCTTTAATGTGCATAAGTTAATCAGAGGTATCCTCGGGGGGAAAAGGAAATTTGGTAAAACATGAATTATAAGCATCATTTAAACTTACTTTGGACACTAGAGATAATAAATGGCACCATAATTTAGAAATAGCTTTTAACATCAATGACGGTAAGTACCACTTTACTGTTCATAAGAATTGCAGAGCAATGGTGCTGAGGCCAATTTTATTAGCCATTTTTTTCTTTATAAAAGCAATCCAGCCCTTTCCACAACTGAGGAGACAGGAACAAGAGTTACGTGCTAATATGCAAAATGCATTTAAGTTTTTTGAAATAGAGAATAATAAATTGTGCCAAAAGATAGAGTCTGGAGACAAATGAATGATCATTTAAAAAGAATAAGGCGCTCTCAGAGTTTACATATTTGGGGAAACTTGATAAAAAAAAAGCCAACAAATTGTTCATACATTTTCCCATTTGCTAGAGCATGCGGGTGTGCTTTCAAATCTGGGAGATGAAGCAATAAATCCCAGCGATTGGGAGGTGCTGCAACAGGAATATATTTCTGTAAATTGTAGCCATTGACAAATTGCTTTTAAACTATATACTGTGCAGGTTCAACTTTCTCTTCCGGGTGTGCAAACAGCCTTCCTGCAGGGAAGCCTCAGACCCCAACCTCTACTGAGCCAGCACCAGTGGCCATGCACCCGGGCATGGCCCTCACACTGTGGTTGAGACAGCTGCCAGCACTCCGTGAGCTACCTACTAAGTGCACTGTGCCGTGCTGAGCATTATAGGGCCGCGGAGAAGCTTGCTGTTTGGAATAGTGCATGGCTGAGGTTGGTTTATGTGGAAGGAATGAATCCAAGACATCAGCCTAGACCCTGCTCTTCAGGATTTAAGAACTCCAGGATTAAGGTCTCTTGCTTTTCCAAACCTGAGTTTGAGGACCTGCACGGCAACCCACCTTACTTGATCTCGAATCTTAGATGTGTCTGAGCAACACAGATATCGCACCTTTGCTTTGAACCTGACCTGAGTAAAAGGCCTGGGATTTCATGAAAGGCAGCTCCTTCTGGAGGTTGATGGGAATAGATGCAAAAGTGCACTGAGGAGGTGGGAGGGGAGAGGAGAGAGGAGGGGAGCAAACAGGAGGGGAGGAAGGAGAGGAGAGGAAAGAGGAGGAGCGGAGTGTTGAGGAGAAGAAGGAGGAGAAGCTCCCTGGGAGGGATCTTGGCTAAGTACTCACAGGCATGGAAGGGGCCTCCAAGCCCTCTGCCCATGTGTTCCTCTTGCCCCCAGACGCTTTGCTCACTGATATTCCACCCCCCAAAGAGAGTCCAGGATGTATCAGGTTTCCCTGGCCTCCTCCTCAGCTCCTGCAAGTGGGGGCCGGTGCACCTGACCCGAGAGCAACCTGCCCCGTAGCTACACCTGCCCTTCTCCATAATGCACCGACTTTGTTTTTTTTTTTTTTGGTTTTTCTCTGGTACCGGGAACCGAACTCATGACCTTGCGCTTGCCAGGCAGGCGCTTTTGCGGCTGAGCTAAATCCCCAGCCCTAATGCACCGACTTTGGTTGCAGACTTCAAGGGCAACCTTTGAAACAGATGGGAGCATCTTGGGCTAGAGAACTGTTGTATTCACACAGCTGCCAGACTCTGGGCAAGTGTATTGTAAGGTTTCTCAGCCTCACTTTTCCCATCTGTAAAATAGGGTTGCAAAACTATTTTCTAAGATAAGTGTGAGGACAGAGTGATGTCCTGAGTACAGTACTTGGTACATAGTAGGTACACTGTGTATATTAAGTTTCTTCTCTCTCCGGGGTCAGAACACCTAGATTCTAACCTATCCCCTGCACAACATCAGTAAGTTATCTCAAATTCCCAAACCTCACACCTCTCATTTTCAAAATGGAATATTTTTGTCTATTGACTTCTGAAGTTTCCTCTGATGATTAAAGTATAGAATGCTTATTCTACAGCCTGGCCCACAGAAGGCATTCTATAAACGCTCCTTAATATTGCCATTATTATTTAATAAATATTAAATAATGTTGTTTGAGCACCAACAGTGTGCAAAACATCACAACAAGACTGAAGCCGCAGAAGGATCAGTGTGCCTGGTTACCCTTACCTAGAATAATCTCAGTTTTCAGTGGTTAATCAACAACCGAACCTGGAAGCTCCTTTTTAGGGAAGACACTGCTCAGGCTGAGGTTAATCACGGTTCTCAACTTGGACACAATCACGTTTGCTTTCCAGCGCCACCACTTATGTCTGGCAGTGAGAAAGTTACTCATTACTTGAGTTGCTAGGTTTGTTTTCTGCTCTCTAGGAGGAAGACAAGAACAGTATTTACATTATGAGAATTTACCTACTGCTTGTAACAATAGTACAGGCATCCTGACAGAAAACAGACAAGGGCGCTGGGACTCAGAGAGGTAAAGTGACTTGTCCCCCCGGATAGCAAAGCTGGAATTTTAACGCAGCCTGTAAAAAGCTGCACGTGGGTTGTGGGCATTTTGGTGCCTGACACAACACCTATTTAAGACCACTTTTCCTTCCAGAAACCCAGAGCTAGACCTGGTTACTTCTCTGCCCACAGGGCGTCACCAGAGCCTGTTTCCAGCCTGGGCAGCGGAGGCCCCGGAACCCCTTGAGTGAAACCCAGGAGCAACACCTTCCAGCGCCTTTAGAGAGAACTAACCGATCCCCCCGCAGTGGCAGCGGCAACAATCACCCGTAATAATGTTTCGGAACGACCCTGCGACTCCCTGGTTTATATCTGATGCCATTTAAGGATGAGAATATTCAAGCCGGTCAGAATTCCCTTTGGCAGTCACATGAAGACTGTAGCTTTAATAACAAGGAGGTTCAAAGTGCCTCGGTGGATAAAAGCGAACTTCTATTAAAGTTCTAGCACCACAGGGCTTGGGGACGTCCCTGTCGCTCCTCTGAACCTCAGTTTCCTCATCCGCAAAATGGAGATTACAATCGTACCTCTCTCCCAGCGTGGTGAGGATCCCATGAAATTGTGCAGGGCCCTTGACGAACCGTGGCCACTGGGCCCCCAGAGCCGGCGCTGGGGACCCTCGCGGGAGGGGAGCAGTGGCGCAGCCCGGAGGGACTCTCAGAGCCGGGCACCCGCCCTTCGCTGTCCGAGGGCCCCAGCCGCTGCCTCCAGGAAATGAACTTGAAACTGGAGGCATGAATACAGTTCACCGCTGCCGGGGCGGCTCGCGGCAGTGTCTTCCCCGAGTGGGGTTTCCATTCTGCTCTCCCCACCCCCAACTTCTTTAGTCTCACTAGGTCCTAAGAACAAAAGTGCCCCAGCTGTGGCGGCCCAAACAGCAGATGCTAACGCGCGGCTGTTTAGCATACCGGTTGCCCGGCTGAGCGGCACTACCTTCTCCTGCCCCAGGGACTCCTGCCCACTAGGGCCGTCAGGGCAACCTTCCCCGCCCCGCCCCCCGTAGGTCTTTACCTAGAACGCCCTGCGTCCTTCCTGCTGGCTTCCTCCCATGGCAGGGGCCAGGAGGGGGTCGAGACAAGGGGTGTGCTGCGACCCGGATTCCAGGCGCTGAAGGGTATCAGCGAGTCCTGGAGGAATCTATGGATCAATAGAGCTTGATGGCAAAACCGGCTTTTAAGGCCAGTCTAAGACTCTCACTCCACTTGAAGATTTGGCTTCTTAAAGTCAGGGGAGTGTGGGTCAGCACAAATCTCTCTAACGAACCCGCGGTGGGATGGCGCTCTTCCAGTCTGTGATCTGTGTTCAGATCTGCACACAGCTTGGCTCAGGCCCACAGCCAGCCTGCTGGGGGGCCAGGTGGGCTCCTTACCGTTCTGTTTGTAGAATGAGAACTCAAAACTGTCCTGGGGATTTAAGGGGACAATGGAAGGGAGAGACCAAACAAACAAACAAAAGAACTCAGCTTAAATATTCTGATTTTCCTTTTTCCATTCGCCCCTTTCTCTACTCCTCGGAAGCACACCAAAGAGGAATTAATAACTGACTCAGCAATCGGCCATGGCTCTGACAGAACATGAGAGAACTTGGGTTTCAACTGAAGTGAGGGGCAGATAGAACCCCGGACCTCAGGATAATAGCAGGGAACTGACCAGCCTCGGTGAGCAAGGCAGCCCCAGGTGAAGAGCTGACTGCGCTCTCTATAGCATCCGCCAGGGAGAAGGTGGCGCGAAGGACTCAAACACTTCATTAGTAGGCATTTAATTAGATTTTTATCTGAAAATGTATTTAAATGCTTATATCTTTATGACAAACTGATAATCAGCTGTAGCATAAACCATGGCTTTTCTTGGTTACTTTCTCTCAAAGAGTCTTTAATGACTACTTATACAGTTTCAGAAACCAATGCACAGAGTGGAAGCCTCTCAGGGCCGCAGAGAAAGAGAACAACAGCACTGAGCAAACTGTCACTAGTGTTTGAGTAGCTGGAGATCGCTATGGCGGTTCCTGGAGGATTCTGCCAGAGTCTGAACCAAAAAGCAAAGGCGTGGAGTAGGCTTTGCTGAGGAGAGACGCCCGGCACAGGGTGGGGGCTTGGGAACTGGCGGCGGGGTGGATTTCACTTATAGAAAACCACTATCAGAGTCAAGAGACCTTTTCTGTTCCAGAATCAGGAACCTGTACCACACCAGCGACTCTCCAGCCCCTCTTCAGCTGGGTTTTAGTTACACCGAGGTCCAGGTTATGATTTTGGCCCAGGTTTCCAGGAACTTCAACTGAGATTGTGATTAGGTCCCTGCCCTGCCCCGTGCTCTCTGCTGGAAGTCAGAGGCTGCACTCCGAAGCCCCTAACCCAGAGCACTTGGCGGGCATCTCTCTTTGCTTGCATCAGCCTGGCGGCCCAGTGGGCCCAGACACTGCTGGGTCTTTCCAGCGCAGATCTGGAGAAGCGCCTCGAATCCCAGCTGCGCACCACCCTTCCCGAAGCTGGCCTGCCTAGGAGAACAGCGAGGCTACTGGGGCTCACCGATAAGCTCCTGGCGGTTTTGGTGGCTGGCTCCCCATTTCCCTGAGACCCCTCACTTCACGGATGGCAAATGTGGGCTCACAGAAACCTTGGAGGCATGAGGCATTGGGCTCCCTTAGAACTCGAAGACCAGATCCACCACCAGGCCTGAGCTTGTAGCTGCTGCCCCAGTTAGAGCTGGGACCCTGTCAAGGGAGTCTCAGAGGGCTCCCCGCTATGCCAACGTCCTCTGCGTCTCCAGCCCTCACCTCCCACCAAGCAGGCTCTAAAACAATTGTTTTGGGGAGGCAAAAACATCAGGCACCAACCTCACTTCGAGACTCAGGACTAATTTTTGAACTTCTCTGAGGCTTAGTGTTTTCTCTGCAATTGGGGAGCGGCACCCAAACCTTGCAGGTGTGGGAGTCCTTGTAAATCCCAGGGTGAGCAAAGTGTGGGGACAGGGCAGTGCTGAACAAGAAGCCGCTGAAGGGGAATCACTCTCACTTGGGGAATCGGAGGCTGGCCCCAGGCTCTTCTGTGCTTTCACAAGGGCTCTGATCTGGCCTGGTCTCCCTTGCTTCCTACCATCTCAGGTTTCACCTGCTGCAGAGAACAGAGCAGAGCCTGGCCCAACTCCCGGCCCCCGCCTGGATGTCTGGTACCTCTGGTACTTGCTAGGAAGGTCCTGGGTGCAGCCCCGAAATCAGGGCATTGGGAAAACACACCCGATGAGTAGGGTTGGGTGTCCAGGCTCCTTGACCTCAATCTGTAAAATGGGCACAGCTTTACAGACGCTGGAGCCCAGGCTGAAGAAGGCCTCAGGGAAGAGCGGCGACACCTCCCGTTTGCCTAGAGACCTTCGTGTCTTGCGCTCTATCCTCTCCGAGACGCCTGGATGCCCATACTCGCCTTAAGCCTCTGCAGCCCAGCCCGGACACCCCAAGGAAGCACTCATGGTGGGGCCCAGGCTGCTCCAGAGTCCGTTTTCCTTAAACTTAGCCTCAAGGCAGCCTGACCGATGTGTGGATACTAACACTCCTGGACTCTACCGCCCCACTGCCCTCCGGGTGTGGGAACTGGGCTGTGTCCCTTAACAGGGCGCCCTCGGCCCCTAGTCCCGCACAACCCCAGCCAGAAGGTCAGCCCAGCAGCTTTGCACGTGGCAAGGAAGGACTAAAGTGCTACACCCGGGCACTCATTGTTCTGGATGACCCAGCCGCACAAGAGTAGACTTAGCCCCCTAACACGCAAAAAGCCCTATACTGCCTCAGGCATGGGGAGGCTTGTTTGGGGCAAAGCAAGCGGAGATCGCGAGTGGGTGGAAGGCACAAATGTCTCGAAAGCGCGGGATGAGGAAACCCAGGCACTGCATAGGGTCGCCGAGCACAGCTCGGGTCCCCAGCCCGGCTGGACCCCGAGCGCGGGAGACCCTCAGCCAGGGGCTCTTTGTGCAAAGCGAGGCTCCTGAAAGGAAAGGGGCACACAGTGTGTGTGTGTGTGTGTGTGTGTGTGTGTGTGTGTGTCCCAAAAAAGGCCCAGAAATCGAGGATCGTCCTGACAAAACAACATAAATAATTTACAAAAACAGTAAGCCTTACTGTGGACCAATTGAATACGACCGAAGGGAACCAGAAAGAGAAGCGAAGGCATAGAGGAAGCAAAGGCAAAGACGGTCCCTCCAGTTCCCAGCCAAAGGGCCAGCATTTCCCTATTCCGATGACGACCTTCACCGCGCTTTTTTAGCAGAGAAATTAAAAAAAAAAAAAATTCAGGAAGGCACGAAAGAGACCCGAAGCCGAATCCCCCCTGCGCTCCCTGGGTGTAAGTCCCCATATCAGCCGATTCCCGTCTAGGGCCTGGAGTTGGAGGTGGGTGCCGGGGCTGGGAGCCGGTGTGTGCTCCTCAGCCGGCCTCCGCTCCCCAGCCCCGCCAGTAAAGACCATCGCGAAGTCCGCGTGTAACGAAGGCTCAGAGGAGCGAGGCCGCAGTGCCGCACGGCCCAGAAGGAGGCGGCGGGTGCAGGCGGCGGGGCGGCTCCGGGTCTCCGGGGGACATCGCTCAGAGCGGTCCCGGAGCCCGGCCTGGAGGAGGAAGAGGGAGAGAAGAGAAGGAAAAGAGACCAAGAGAAACAGGGGCAAAGAGAATCTGGGAGACAGGGAAGGAGAGAGAAACGAGGACAAGAGTCAGACACGGATAGGCGGGGGATGAAGCGGGGATGTGACAAAGAAACAGCCTAGGAGAAGTTAAAAGCAACAGGAAACGAACTATAAAGAGAAATACAAAAATACAAGGAAAAAGATACAGCACCACAGAGACCAATAGTTACAAACGAAGAGAATATCGTAGAGCGGGCACAAAATAAGCAGCGCTTTCAAAAGGCCGAAAGAAAGGTCAGAGGACAAAAGAGGGGCAAGAGAAAAAATTTTAGGGACACTTTGGGTGTCTGTTTGTAGTAGGAAGAGGCCATCTGAGCTCCACCACGCAATTCCGAAACTTCCAACTTTGGGGCCATGGTAAACTGGGGAGGACCAGGCCACGGCACTGCCACACTCGGGCTCGGGGTTCTGGCAGGTCCGGGCGCCCGGCCCCTCCTGCCCAGGGACGCTGTGAAGGCTGCAGTGACGTCACGTGACGTCACAGCATCCCTCAGGTCTGGAGCAAACCTAAGAGCCAGCGGGGGACCCTAAGGGTTGGGGGCTGCATTTGCTCCCCAGCTATTTGGACACCCGGGATGTGCGCAGGGCCTGCGCTCACACTGCGGTCGGATCCACAGTAGCGAAGTCCTTGAGTTTGGCCCGGACCTTCAGGAGGCCGAAGTGGAAAGAGCCGAAAGCAGGTTGCGGGGCGGAGAGGGCTTAGCTTTTCCTCTTGCGCTCCAACAAGCAAGGTGTTGCTCTGCCTCCCACCCAGGTGAATTTGACCTTGCAACCGCCCAGGACATCGTCAGGCCCGGCCTTTCCCTGCCCAGCTCTCCCTGGCGCTGCTCTTTGGCCTTAGGTCCTACGGCGCCGTTCCCACGTCCACGCCCCGTCCGGCGGGCACCCGGCACGAACTGACCTGCACCGCGCGTCCTCCGCGGGCCCCGGGCCGGTGCGAGCCGAGGCGAACACCGACGACCTTGGAGAAGCGGACGCGCCCGCACGCAGCCGCTCGCCTGCTCCCGCCGCAGGGGTGGGGCGCGAGGCCGGAGTCGCCAAGCATTATTGGAACGAAAACGAAATAAAAGCGTCGTTAAGTGAAATAGCTAACTTTTTATTAAATAAAACGACTTAAATAAAAAGAACGGAAAAGGAGAGGAGTGAACCCAGCCTGAACGCAGGGTGTCCTCGGCCCCAGGCACTTCCCCCAACGGCCGGGTCGGCTGCCCCTCCTCCGGCGGCCCCCGCAGGGGAAGCAGGTGGCCGCTGTCTAAAGAAAAAAGCCAAAACTTTTATTATTTACACGTTTGGGCAAAAGTACAAAGTATAATACAGGCGCCCAGCCCGGGGGTGCGGGCGGGAGGCGGAGAAACGTAAGGCGCTTTCTTTGTCAGGCCCGGGCCTGGGGCGGGACGGGGCGCGGGGCGGGGGCTCGGATTGTGCAGCCGCGGGGAGCCCGGGCCCGGCCCCCCTCTGTGGCTGGCCCGCGTGCAGCCGCGCCCCAGGGCCTACTAGAGCCTGGCTGTCCCTTCCCCTCTCGGCCCCAGTTCTCCCCCAGCCCGGCTGGGGGTTCGGGACGCCCCGCTAGGTGGGAGCGGCGATCCGTAGCGACAGTGCGCACTGGTGGCTCACACCAGCGAGGTGACTGCTGGAACCTTGGAACTATCCTCCTCCCAGGGCTGCAGATTCTGCAGAGCAAAAAGCGACGAGTTGTGCAGACAGAGCGGGTCGGGCTGGATGGAGTCGTTGAGGCTCTTTTGGAAGGCGTCGTGTTGCAGCTGCAGCATGAGCCGGCTCGCCTGCTGCCGCTCCGCCTCCCGCTCCTCCGCCGTCTGCCGCCTGCACCGGGGGAGGGAGAAGGATAGCACTGTCATGCAAGCGCCGCTGCGGGCCACCGGCGGGGCCCGGCCCTCCCGGGAGCGGAGGCCAGCCGAGGGCCTCGAGGCGCAGCACCTGTCCGCCTCCCTGCGCGCGATTTACGCCCGGGGCGGCGAGTCGGGAGAGTGGGCTGGGATCGTGTGTTATTGTTGTGCACCCCGGGAGGGCGCCAGGAGGGAACTCTGCCCGCTGCCCACCTGCACGCCCGCACACTGTGGCTTTGCCAACCATAAAAAATTGTTTCTTTCCTGGAATAGCGAAAGCTGGGCGTTGGTGTAACTGACTCTGGGCCCTGCCGGGAGCAGGGTCACTGGGGTCAGCTGGTGGCCGGGCTGGATGTGCACCACCAACTCCGAGCGCCGGAAGGGGTCTGTCTGGTCCAGTTTACACGGGCCCTGTCTTGAACCCTTTTCCAGGACGCGATCATTTCGCCGTTTACGGGTTGGATTGAAACGGATCAATAAAAACAGAGCTGGATGGGGACCTCCAGCCTCGCGGATACTCGGGAATCTGAGAGCGTAGGCTGGAATGGGGGAGGCAGGAGAGTGTGGGAGGTGTGTGTGTGTGTGTGTGTGTGTGTGTGTGTGTGTGTTTTGGGGCAAGTGAGAAGAACCCGAACGGGGTCGAGAGGTGGAACAAAACACACAGCGAGTTGGAGGGGCTCAAGAGACATCGGGATGGTGATGGAAGAGAAGCCTAGGGTGCGAGACGGAAAGAAAAACGCAGAGGGCCTGCTAAAAGGAAGGGAGGAGATAAAACCTATGAAAGGGGAGGCGAAGCCGCCCTGGGGGCGCAGGCGGACGGTAGCACAGGCAAGGGGAGAGGGCCAGGTTCCACACGGCCCTGGCAGGTGAAGGGCAGGTGCAAGGTGGACCGGACTGGGCCTCTCACCGCCACTTGGTTCTCCGGTTTTGGAACCAGGTCTTGACCTGCGCGTCCGTCATTTTGAGGGACTTGGCGAGCGCCGCCCTCTCGGCTGAAGCCAGGTACTTCTGGCGGTGGAAGCGCTTTTCCAGCTCGCAGATCTGCACCCGGGAAAAGGACGTGCGCGGCTTCTTACGCTTGGGCGGCGTCCGGTTCTGGTAGGGGTGGCCGATGCGCCGGGTCACGGTGAAGGGCGTGAGCGCGGCGGCCGCTGCAGAGACACAGGAGGCCCCCTGAAGCCCAGCCCAGCTCCGCTACCTTTCAGGCCTCATGTGGACCCTATGGAGCCCCGTGGGACCCACAGTGCTCCGCTATTTCTCCGGTTCTGTTCGTCCCCAGAGGCACCAAATCGGTCGGGAGACGCCCCCTCCCCCTTCCTCTTTCCCGGGACGCCGGTTTATTTTCCCGCAACTCTCCGATTGCCCTCCCCTCCAAGGCTGCCCGGCGCAAAGGGCGCGGAGGCCTCCGCCGCGCTCGGGCCTCTGGAATCGTTTCCGGGAGTGCAGCGCACAGGGCGCGGCGCCTCTGGCCCCAGGAGGGCCGAGGCCTGACGCCTATTCGCTTGCTCTGCTCACCTGTGAAGCGGTCTTTCACAAAGCGGCGGCTGCTCTCCATCCAGGGGAAATTGAGGCCGCCCAGGCTGGAGACCGTGGGCACGGAGGGCATGGCAGGCAGCGCGCTTGGCAGAGGAGGTGGCACGGCCCCGGGCAGCGGCCTGTGCGCTGGCACCCTGATCACGCCGGCGGGCGCTAGGCTCAGGTTGACACTGTAAGATCCCGCGTCCTCGAAGGGCGCGCCGAGGCCGGCAAAGGAGGCGGGCAGGGACGGGTACGTGGCGCCCGGACGGCCCCCGGGGGGCCCTCCCAGGTAGCTGGCGCCGTCGGGGCCCCGCGGGGCGGGTGCGCTGTCCTGGTCCGGGCTGTTGAGGATCTGGTCGATGCCGAAACTGATGGGCTCGTGGGGATGCGGGGTCTGCGCGCTGGCGGGCGCCTCCATCCTGGGCGGGCGGAAGGGCTGGGCTGGGCTGGGCGGGGAGGCGGCTGGGTCCCCGTTACGGCGCGGCCATGGAGCGCCCGGCGCCTCTCGTCGCACTGAAACTTTGCCAAGAGTGCGCGGGCCCGACAGGCTCTGTGTCATCTTTCTTGAACCGAACCTGGAGTTTCCGCTGCTAATTCCTCTCCCGCCGCAGCCATTGGCTGCGATCAACAAGCCTCTCTCCTCTCATTGGCTCCCGGCTTTCAATAAAGGCCTAATTCATGGAAATAGGAGCTTAGGGACTGTTCCAAGGTGACATCATTTTAACAAACGAACAATAGGTCAAATTTATTAGCCGGGATAATGGGCGGCGGATATTAGCGCCCGAACCGCAGTCTCCCAAACTCGAAATCTAACGAAGCTGCAATTAGCAGACACTCCCCGCTTCTCCAGGCCGGGACCACTTCCCGGTCGCCCTGAACGGCTGGTAGGACGCTTTGCTTGTGAAACTGTCTTTTGCAGAGAAGGTATTCGTTTTCTTGCAATTTTTTTTAAATGCGCAAAAACCAAGCCAAGTGAGTCTTTTCAGTTAGAACGGAGTTGCTGCCCGAAATCACCCTGTGGAATCTGAGGAAACCTCTTGGACACTCGACCTTCGCGGGAGCAACGAAAAAGGCGCAACCTGGGGCGCTAGCTCCGCGCTCGGCGCGCGCGGCCTGAGGAGAGCACCGTGGCGTTCTCCGTGCGACTGAGGACACCGACCCGCGTGGGGAGAATTCGTCCCCGCCGGGGCTTCGGCCGCCGCGTCGCGGCCACTTTGGAGACGGTCCCTGGCTCCCGCCAGGCTGACCAAGGCGTGACTCGCAGGTGCCCACGCGTGCGGGGCTTGGCTGGATGGGGACCCGAGGTCAATCACTGGGGAGCGGGGCTCCTGCCCCTCGAAATTCGTTGCACGGTAGAGGGGCTGTGGTTGCGCGTGGGGACCTGTCCGAGGTGAGCCAGGTGTAGGGACCTTGGGCTCCCAAGTAGCAACATCAGGAAGGCTCAGATTTAGGCAAATAACGGGATTCCTTGGGAAATGTGATTAGCGAACCCCTCCGGGCTTCAGTCCCGCCTGAGCGCGGGGACCACTCCCTGCTCTGCTGGTGCACGCAGGGCTGTCCCCGAGGGCCCAGAGGCACGGTGCCCAGGACCGCACGCGGAGCGGTCACCTTCGGCTCCAGGTTGGGGGACGCATGCGGAATCGTTCCCTCTAGTTCCAAAAATCGTTAGCTGCGAACTCTTGAGTGCTGCAGCTCTGGCCCGGCCTCTTCCATTTGCTCCGGGTCTGCGGCCCCTGGTGAGGGAGTGCAGAGTGCAGAGGTGCTGCTGGCCAGAAAGAAGAATGTCCACGTTTGGGTCGGTCACCTCCGAGCTGAGTAACCTTGAGCTAGTGACTCCATCTCTTTAGGCTTTGGTTTTTTTGTTTTTTAATAAGGTGGGGAATGCTGATGCGTGCATTGTGAGATGTTTGGGAGCGGTGAGGGAGATACAGAGAGCAGAGGGCAGGGGGCCTGGCACACAGTAGGCACGGGGCTCTGCACTCCTCTTTTGCCCCCACTCCCAGTGTCATGGTTGATGTATTATTGTTACCATCTTTGTTTATTTTTCTTGTAATTTTATCTTATTTGCAGAAGCTCAGTATCTTGGCAATATCTACCCATCAGTGGGGTCAGTTTTTGGAGGACCAGGAAGGGCAAGAGGCTGTAGGCTGGGGATTCTTGCTCCCAGCAATCCGGAGGCTGAAGGATTTACATGGATGCCTCCAGGCCTGGGTCTGGGTGAGGTTGTTTGCCCCCTGCGTGACCTTGGACAAGTTGCTGCTCTTTGCAGAAGCTCTGTGTTGGGTGCAGACAGCAAGAGGCCAGCTAGGAAGAGAGCCCAGAGGAGTGCAGGATGCCTGGGGGCTGCGCAAGGCTCCCCCGCTCCCTTCCTGAGACCAGGGCCCACACATTGGGGGATGCTATTGCTCTGGCTCTGGGAGGGCCTCCTGCTTCTAATTCTGGCCTTGCTGCTGGCCATCTGGGGGGCTGTTGGGCCCTCGTTGCCCCTCCAGAGTCAGACTAGCCTTTTGCTTATTGGTAAAACTGAAAGGGCAATAGCTCCCCCCAGGGTGGCCATGAGAACTAAATGAAAGAACATCCTCGGAAGTGCCTGAGAGCTCAGTGTGCACGGGCCGGGCGGGGGGTGAGGGTGGCGGGCAGTTATTTATTCTTCACAGCCACCCTGTGTAGAAAGGGCTGCAGTGACCCCGATCTTTGATTGCTGAAGGAACTGAGGCTCGGAGAGTACTAGTGAGCCCCCAGCTTGGGCCGGGTTGGCGCCTCACTGGCTCCACTTCCCTCCAGGCTCCCAGAGCCCGGAGACCCTGCCTGGGCCTCGTCAGTTCCAGGCACTGTTAAAGTGGGGTAACAAGGCCCACCTCACAGAGATGCTTGGCACAGTTAAGGAGGAGGGGTTAAGATGGCGGCCAGGGCATATGCTTCAGAATCTGATTCTCACGTCAGTTTGCCAGCTGTAGAGTTGGCATTTCCCATCTTCTCTGTGCCTCAGTTTTCTCATCTAGGAGCAAAACTGCACCAACCTTATAGGATTAAGTGAGCTGGTCCAGGTACAAGCATTAAGCAAGGCGCCTGGCATGGATGGGCTCTACCACCTCACTGCTTGGGGCCAGCTTCCTGAGCCCCCTGGTTCCTCAGTTGTCCAACCCTAGAAGCTTTGGGTCACTAGTCACAAGCCCTCTTTCATTCCCGCTCAGACAGAGGACTCTGTTAGGCGGCTCAGAACGAGGAGCGTAGCAGGGCAAGCGGACACTAGGCCAGCGGTTTTCTTTTTTTTTTTTTTTTAAATTTTATTTTAAAGAGAGTAGTACATAAGAAACAAACAAACAAAAAAATAGAACAGTAGCAGCTTACCAGTATCACAAACATAAACAAATCAAAGCAAGAACATTCAAAGTGATACAGGGTCTCAAGACAAATTAATACAAATCAACAGTGGTTGTTACATTGCATATCGCTCTCCTCAATTACATTGCTCAGATTATCAGATGTAAGAATGAAAGATTGCTCAAACCATTATAGGCCAGCAGTTTTCAAACTGTGTTCCCGGCTGGGGAACCAGCAGCACCTGGGAATTTGTTAGAAATACAGATTCCTGCACACTGAATCTGAAATACCCCTGGGCTCAGAACCTATGTTTCAGAGGCCCTCTGGATGCTTCTGATGCCTGCTGCAGTTGGGAAACCAGTGCCCAGAATACTATCCGTCCCTTCCACATTCTTCAATTTATTGTTAAAATATTTTGACAGAGACGCTCATAATTTAAAGCTCTCCTGTGCATCTGCGCTAGCATCATCTGCTTTTCCTCCTCCGTGTTACTCATCTGTGCTGCTCTTGGTTACCTGGCCCAAGCTTTGTCTCCTTTATTGGTCTTTAAAAATGCCCTTGATTTCATTACCCTTTTTTTTGGTATCATTTCTTTCATGAATGCTTTGTGCTTTAAAATTAATTTCTTCTTTCCTTGCTGTGGTAGGATTTTAAATTATTTTGTCAACTTTTCTTGCTTTTTAAAACATTCAAAGGCATACCTTTTTCTCTGAGCCAAATGCAGTCTGCGTTGCTGTGTTTGGTGTTCCTGAGAGTGTCATTCTTTGCTGCCCCTTTGTACCTAGTATCAGCTGAACAGTGAGAAAGATACACACATGCGAGAAAGATTAGAAAATTCAAATTGTAAGAATGAGGGACGTGGGGGCCGGGAGTCCTGAGGCTCAGACACTTCCAGGCTGCAGCACATCCTGTACTGGTCCCTTTGGGAAAGCTGGGAGAAAGGCAGAGCCGTGCTGGGAGTCACATGAGAGAGGGTGGGGTCCAAGGCTGAGAGGCTGAGTGCTGGAATTCCCAACTGGTCCATGACCCCAGACACAGGAGGCCCAGTTTCCTCTACATTTATTCTGTCACTGACTTCTGTGTGAGTTGAGATTCAACTTCCCTGTCTGTAAAATGGGGTAGAGATTGGACCAGGGCTCCTATATGTATTTGGATCAGCTACCCTAACTGAAAAACTGATGAAAATAACACAAGCACATACGCTGTCACACAATGTCACAGGTTGTGACCTGCCCACACCACTTTGGTTCATTTACCTTCAGTACCTGTGGGGTCCTTCCAGTTCTGACGATGGAAGGCTGTAATGACACCTGCCAAAATTTATCCACTCCCTCATTCATTCAACAAATATTTATTTAGTGAGGACCTTCGCACATTTCCTGGGCCCGGTCCTGACTTTGGGGGCCGTTTCCCTGACAGTGAGAGCGATGCAGTTGGAGCCTTTCATCCTGGCTTCCTGCAAAAGAAAGGACCTGGGGAAGAAGCTGCCTGAAGGATTCAGTCTGCCAGCTGACGGGAGGAAAAGGCCCCCAGGTGCAGGGTGCTGTTGGGAGCCCCACGACAAGTCATGGAGCTTCAGGGACAATGGTGTAGGCTGGTGCAGTCCCTCGCCAGTGGCAAGCAGCTGGGGATGGGAAATGGAGATGGGATCTCAACCCAGAACTGTCTGGACTACAAAGCCCATGTTCCCCTTCACTTCATACCCCCATTTCCGTTCTGGGGGAGGAGGGAGTCAAGATGCCAAGTCCTAAGACTGAGTACAGAGGGTCTGGGTAGAGAGGCCCAGGAGCGGGTGTGAGGGCTGCCTGTGGTGTGGTGCAGCTCACTTCTGTCTCCCCTACTGGCCTGGGACTTCCCGTAGGGCAGAATGGTGTTGGTGGGATTAGATTCCATGTCCTGGGATTGGGTGTAGGGCCATGGTATTACACAAATAACACACAGCCAGGGCAGAGAAGGGGATAAAGGCAAGGGGTCCTGGACCTAATTCTGGGTCCAGGAATTTGTGTGTACTCGTGCAGCTCTCCCCATGGCTGGGGCCTCTGCATCCTTTAAGACCCAGGCCAGCTGTCAAATCTCTGCCCACTCTCCAAAGCA